TATATATAAACATATGGGGGTGGCCATCTTAGATTTTGACATGGCAACACAATTTTTGATAGTGACTTTTCTTAATGCTAAATGCAGTTACACACTAAAATGGAAGCCAGTACGTTGCTTATTTTTCAAGTTTTCCAGCCCACAAGACTGGTGGACATTTATGGTGGCAATCATCTTGGATTTTGAGGTTGCAACCCAATTGATAAAAGCAACCGTTCTTTTAACTAGATGCAGCCAGACACCAAAATGGAAGTAGGTACCTCAATTATTTTTCAAGTGACCATGTTCACAACACAGACAGGACGGATGAAGGGCATCTTCAATTCCCCCTCTTTGCTTCACAACGAAGGACAGAAAAGCAGTCTTAGCAGCTTCAAGAGTCCTCTGGTGCTTTAAAAAGTATTTTAGTATGGCCGGTGAGACTTGTAGCCTGTTCTTTTTCCATTTTCTCTCAGAACATTTGCACTGACGACTGAGGGACGGGTAGTTTCGTTCAGCCATGGCTGAGATGAAGACTTTGCCTGTTTGAGCAACCAAGTTCAAAATATCAGTATATGAGTAATAAAGACCTCGCTAAAAATAGCAGGGAGCTCCTCCGCACCAGACACAGTGCAGAACTGTGGCTTGCAGGAAGCAGAATCCTAAAAACGTGGTGCAGTTTTGGATTTAATTGCTCATAGCAAAAATGGATGGTAAAGTTGCCACCTGTGAAAAGACAGTCATATTGTAGCATATGTCTCGTCATAAATTCACTAGAATATTTATAAAATCCTCGCTGACTTAAAGTACTTGAGGCAAATGCACAGCTCCCACCCTTGTTTAAAAAAATCTTGTACGTCTTTAGAGTTTAGGGAATAATTGCCACTCAAGAAAATTGAACAGTCAACTACTATTTATGTGTTTTACTGTATACTGTTTAATGCTGCTAATTGTACTAATTAAGAGTAACAAGTCTTCTGAAAGTGGAACTTTTCATAAAGAAACTTAAACTTAATGATTTATAGACATACAATCTTTTTAAGGTTAGATGGCTTGGTGAATCTGACAAAAAGCAACAAATAAAAGCTTAAATATGGGTTTTACATATATTTGAGGTCCATTGTGTTAGGCAGTACCTGAGTCTGTGCTGTCGAAGTACCACCAATTGTCTCTGGGTAATACGTTTTTTCTCTTCCTCCGACAGAGAGTCAAATGTCTCCTGATCCAGATCCCTCAGCCACTTTTCCTCCTTGATGGCTCTCTCATTCTGCAAGGCTTCTGCATGATACACACACTATGCATAAACCTATTATGTGAAGTTTGGTACAAGCTACATTTGTGCAGGAACTGGTGAAAAATGTTACCTTCAGCTTCTCTCTGCTGTCTTTCTCGTGCCTTCAGGGCCACGTAGGTGTCAAATAAATTAACTACATAGATGTGTTTGCGGTTGCTAAGGGCCTTCAGAATAATTTGAAGTGTGCTTGATAGAGACTGAGTGTAAAGTGACTTCAGGCCATCAATAACTACTCCACGGTGACAATCAATGAACTGTTAAAACAAGACAGCAGCATGAGCAATGACAAGACCCATAAAAGAACAAGAGAAGTTCAACTTTACATTATGTCAAACCGAGATAAAATACAGATATGGTCAAAAGTAAAACCTCCAGACTTCTCATTTCTAAAGTTTTATGTATTAGGGTAAGAAAAAAAATACATTTGGTCCATATTAAGTCTTAATATAAGATAAATACAGCCACAGATAAATTACACAAGACAAAAATTACTAAAATTTTATTGATTTAAAAAAAACAAGCCAAAATCAGAAGTACAGAGAGAAAAAACTAAATCTATCTTTAATAACCTGCTACTTCCAGTTCAATAGATTGGTTAAATGATGTCAGTGTGAGCTCTTGATTAAAGCAGATGTTTTACTGCTCTGGAGATAAAGGTGTGTGTTAACACACCCCTAGAAGGAAATACATCAGCAATGAACCTAGAAAGGCAGTCGTTGCTTCCCAACAATATGAGAAGGGTCAAAGGTCATTTACAAAATATTTGGAGTCCATATTTCAACAGAAAAACCTATGAAAAGTGGAAACATTTAAGACAGCAGTCAATATTTTCAGGGATTCGGAAGTCACCTCGAAGGTCAAACTGTGCAATGTTCAGAAAAATTACAAAAACAAAACAAAAGCTTAATCTCTGACTCTACAGGCCTCAGTTAGCAGGTTAAAGGTTATGACAGGAGAATTAGAAAATACTAACTTGTTTGGAAGGATTACAGGACTCTGCTTCTTTTTAAAACTAAGGAAACGACATCCTCTTTACGTACAAGAACACAATGGGGATGTTCGGACAGTACTGTATGTCCAGCAGAGAGAAACAAATGCAGCATATCATCCCAAATTCCTCATACTGACTGTAAAGCACAGTGGTAGAGGACTGATAATTTGAGCTCGCTTTGCAGCCAATGCAAGCTTACAGTCACTGAGCTGATGATGAACTAGAACTAGTATCCTCCAGTCAAACTTGAGTTCATTAGTTCATTTTGATGCAACAGAACAATTAACCCAAACACAGCAGGAAACCTACAGCGGGACTGCTGAAAAAGGAAAGACTCATCAAAGGCAAAGGCCAACAGAAATTCTGTGGTGAAAAATGTAGTATGGAAACAAATGTCTGCAAAATGCAATGAAGCAACGTTGTGATGAAGAGGGAGACAAAATTCCTCTATTGTCAATGACAGACTAATAAAGTCACACAGAAGATGATTACTGATAGTTATTGCTGCTAAAAGAGGCTCTAGAAACCCAGGAAATTATGAGGTGAGTTTAACTGCTCCTGTAGTTTGGCTTAGTCATAAAAGCTCATATCAAATGCTCCTTTTCAATTATATTTTGACTTACAGTTGGTCTGATGTTTTCTGAACTACTGAAGGTGAAAGGTTTTGGGATTTGGCGCTCTAAGAATTTAAAGTACCTGAAATCTTTCCACCAGGATATCAACAAGCAGCTGTTCAGGCAGGAGACTGCTGAGTGTGGCAACATCTACTCGTAACTAAAAGAAAGATTTTCCTTATAAAGATTCATCAATAAAAGGCTTTCATTGTTCACAAATGAATCAACTATCATGATTTACTTTGATGTGAAACTAAAACACAAGAGAGAAAAATCTTAGAAAAAGTACCTCCCAGAAGTCATTGGGTTCGTCTTTTGTCTCCTGATGAGGAATTGTGGAGATGTTTTTGCTGCAGTTGTTCTCACTCTTTTTTGCATGATTTTCCACAGGATGAAGTGAAGATGATGAAACTGAGCCTAAAGGAGGCACTACAGGTTCTGGTGTTGTGTCTTCAGCCTCCTGGGCTGGAAGAAGAAAAATGTATTCACAGCGTACAACTTGTCAGCAAGGGGAAATTAAAGAAAATTTATTAAGTGTCATTAGTTATTTTGGTGATGAGTTTGGTTAAATCTCCTCCCTAAGCTCTGAACAGAACAGCAAATTTTGCTTACCAGCTTCAGCTGTCATTTTCTGAGCATATTCTTCAGCTGCAGTGTTATAGAGTTGTCTTGCTGAAAGGCTAAGAGCTGAAGTGCCATTTTGAATTACGTTTGTGACCACAGCATTAACATCCAGGCACATTGCTCCATAGTGAGCTGCCAGAGCAGCTGCCATGCTGCTTTTATCTGGGAAATAAAATGGAAGACTTTTAAAAGTAGTTACGCCTTATTCTATAATGGTTTTCTTTAGTTTCCTCTGAGTTAATGAACTTTTACCAGTACAAGGGGCTCCGTGTACTATAATAGATATGCCTCTGCGGCTCTGTTCTGCCAGTCCCTCAGGTGACAGGTCCAGTCCCATGTGGCGGGCAATTGCTCTGGATTCAGGGAATATCTCCAGTTGTCCCAGTCTCCAACTGTTTCCATCTCTGCTCAACTCTGAAATGACTTTAGAAAGAGGCAACAATGAGTTTAAATTTAAGCAGCAAACTGTCAGGATCTTTAAGGTATTCAGAGAAGGCCCTGAGTCAACCCAATAATTACCGTTATAGAAATGTTTTATTTCAGTGAATTAATCCAAGACTTGTTTGTTTCATATAGTGTCACATGCGTTTGTTTCCATTTTTTTTTTTTTAATGAATGTTGTGCATTGCATTGGTTTTGTGCTGAAAACAAAGTGAACCAGTCAGAAATTTTTGCATACTGTCTCCAGTCAGAATTTTTTCTAATCAGGATTTGATGGCTTGGTGTCAGCAGCTACAGACCATTACATCAGAGACAGCATGAAGTTGGATAGATGGACTGGTCCACCAAACAGATTTGGAGTTGTAATCAACAGAAAATGTATTATTATAATAATTATCACTCGTTCAGGTCTACCAGCAGCTGCAGTTTGGTGAGGTAATAACAAAATGCCATCTTCAGCATATTCTTTGAGTGCAAAAAGATTGTGTGAAATCTTTGTTTTAAAAAAGCAGGTGATAAGAGTTACTTTCAGAAATCTACTTTTTAATAAACACAGAAATCAGCTGGTTTCATGCTGAAGGTGCTGATATCTGTTTGGGCATTTCGTTCCTTCGTTTCCTTCCTTGTGCCATCTGTCTGAGTTTTGTCTTCACCCCCTTCTACACTCAACTCACACAAACAATAGCAGACATTATCACAGGGATCTAAACACCCCTGTGGATGTGACAGTGACAGTTTTAATGAAGCTACCGTCATCTTTCAGCTGGGAGGAACAGTCTTTGTAGTAGTCCAGCAGCTCTGGAGGAAGACCCTCGCCAGGGACCCTTGGAGGGAGCAGCAACATGGCGTTCTCATCATAACCCGGCATCAGGCGAAGGACCTGAGGAGGGACAGAAAAAAAAAATGTAAAAATGAACAGAAAAATAAATGTCATGTTAAGTTTAGTTGAACTTATTGAAATTCAGTTTACTGTTGATTTTTTTTCACTCTTCTTTCTTTCATGTCCTGCTTTACTTTCAGTCATTATGTTCAAGTTTTATTATTTTTATTATTTAAACATCTGCTAAGTTCCTGGGAAAAACCAATGCAGACATGTTCTTGTTTTTAATTTTCTACATCACCTCACAACCTAGCTGTTTTGTTTTTGTTACTTTTTAAAAAAAAATACCATTTTATTTTCACCTGTTATTCTCAATTTGTATGCATCCTTTTATAATTGTCTATTGTTTTCTTTGTTGTTGCACTGTTAAAATCAGGTCTCTCTTGTAAATGAGTCCTCGAGGCTCAATGGGATTAACCTGTATAAATAAAGGCTGAATAAATTATGTTCACCTATTTCTTATTAGATTCTCTACATTTATATTAGTTAATACTTGTATGATCTGAGCCACTTTATGTATGTTTTTTTTGTCATGTAAATATGTGTCTGTAATCTCAGTTTTTTTTTTTTGTTTTTTTTTTGCGTTTATGAACCACTATTTTCATTGTTTAAAGATGTTTCTGTCTTCACCTGGCATCTTATAAAGTATTTCTTTTGACCTCGGCTGTTTTTTAACACACTTTTAGTTTTGTCACATTTTTTAAACCATGACTCATTTTGTGATGCTTTGATGGTTATGATGATGTGTTTTCTGAGAGTAAGTAAGGACAAAATAATTGAAGATGAACAAATTCTGGAAAGGGGGGAAAATACAGTACAGCAAAGAACTGATATACTAGCTGATCACTGAAATAGACATTTTTGAGCTAATAAGCCCGTTGAACATACAGGTATGTGTCCCTGTGATGGACTGGAGACCTGTCCAGGGTGTCCACTGTCTCTCGCACAGTGACTGCTGGATATGGGCACCAGTGACACCCAAAAAGGAAGGAGCAGGTAAACGAGACAATGAATGGATGGATGGCTTTTGTAGGAGTGGACCTCTGTATTTCTTCTTCCCTGTTTTATGAACTTCAACCTTAACCTGGGAGACGTTATTTTTGGATCATTACCCACTTCACCCTGCCCGAGGATCATGCTTTAAAGATAAAGGTTAGACTTTTTCTCTGTCACCAGTTGTGCCTAAAGAAATGTGAATGTTTGTAGGGCTGGAGGGACCACCCCTCCCATCTACAGGATGCATAAAGTTACCTATTGAAGCCATCTCAGTGGGCATAGATGCTTCTACTTGACTTGCAATGGACAAACTTCTGCAAACCTCGTGAGAATTAAATTATCTCAAGTATGATTTTAGTTCTCCGTCTATTTTTTAATTAAGGATTATTATAGAAACCTTTTCCATCTTGGTTTTTTATAACACAGAAAAAGGACAAGAACAAAATATTTATAAACAGGTTTTGTTTTCAACTCTTGAACAAAACAATAAATCACAAAATACCATTCTCACTTTGTCACATAAAAAAATGACTAATCAACTACTAATTTTAAAAAATCCTTACCTCCTCCTCTTTGAGGTGTTGTGTGTCAAACTCCAGGGAGTAAAACTCGATGGGGAACAAGCTGTGGTTTTTCACCGTGACCTCTGCCTCGGCCTCCATGTTAAAAGGGAGACTAGGCCCCAGCTCCAGTTCTGATGGGCAGAACTCAAGGTTTGGTTCCTCACCCTGTCCCTGAGCTGTAACGAACAGTTGTTGAGTGCTGTGAGCCACGTGAACCTCCAGCCGCCTGCTGTATGAACACTGGAAGACAAGAGCATTTCAATATTAAAATCTTAGTGGTTCCACCCACTCTTCGGTTGTATTAATTAGTTTTGGAGGATTTGGAACACCTAAAATTATGCTAAATTTATGTTTTCATTATTATGTTTTGCGCAATAAAAGAAGAAAACTTGTTTAAATCATGGCTGAAGTTTTTACCCCCTCTGCAGGTCTGAACTTGACATGGACATTAACATGTTCACCAGGATCCAGCACACCAGAGCAGGGAAGCATATCAAACACTGTGGGAGGGGGTTGCTGGTCCTGTAAGAACTTTTTATGCTCGTACAGGGGCAGGAATTTATCAATCTGTACAATAGCCGAACAAAAATACTGCATTGTTATAGACATCATAAATGACAAATTGAAGTGTTTTTATATTTTATGGATAATTATTTATGACATTATTTAGGAATTTTCATAAAACCATTTATAAAAATGAAAAGGTTGAACCTTTTTGATAGGTTTCACCTCCTCTGTCATACTCCACTGACACTGAACAGGTCCAGGGTTCATCAGCTGTATTGCCTGTATCTGAGACGAACAAAAAACAAATTATGAAATCAGCAAATGCACATAAAACATTTAGTGTATTATTTCTAGTTTAAGTAAAATTAACTGAGTTTGAGGTCAAATATGGGCACCACACTAAATCAGCCTGAAATCATAGACAGGTTATCAGTTCAAGAAATTTACAGCAAGGTTCATATGTGAAATAGAAGGAGGGTAGTAGGTAATGATTCAGTCAGCGACAACACCACAGTGAGGCATGTGCCCTTTGTTAACCTGTCGTGCACACACTCCACTGCACGGTTAAACCTTCACCACCTTTTAATTCTTATGTTAAGGAACTGGTTAAAAATCCACTAAACATATCAATAATGTGTGTAAAAGTTCAGATTTTAATATATGCATATGATTAGTTGTTGTGAATGCTGTCAGTATTATACTATAAGAATAGTAATAGTAATACTAATGTTTTCTGGTTTTGTTATTGTTATGTTTGTTTTCAACATAATTACTTCTGCATGTACTTTGTGCTGCTCTGATTACGTAGTCATATATCGAAACATTCAGCTCGTTCAGGAGATGGGTGACTTTTGTTGTTTTTTTTGTTTGTTGGTTCCAGATTTAGCCTTTAGCTAGCCTTGTACTACTTCAAACTTTTAGCTACCATTCTGCTAATTGCATATATTAGCTATTTTCCTATTTTGCTACTTTTAGCTACTTTAAGTTAGCTTTTTGGAAGTTAAAAGTAACAGTTGGTATTTTTAGCTAACCTATTGCTACTTTTAATTTCTAGATAGCCTTTTGATTCTTTTAGCTTCAAGCTAAACTTTTAGCAAGTGTTACGTAACATTGAGCTTTTGGCTAGCCCTTTGCTACTTTTAGCTATTAGCTAACCTATTGCTACATTTTTCTTCTAGCTATCCTTTTGAATATTAGAGCTGTAAGCAAAACTTTTGCAGTTTTTAACAAGTCTTCTGTTACATTTCACTTGTAGTTTGCCTTAGGCTACTTTTAATTAGCTTTTTGCTATTCCTAGCGTTTATCTTTTGCTGTGTTTCTTTTAACTTTAGCAATTTGATTTCACCAGCAGCTTTTATCAAATTCATTCAGCACTTAACATTCAGACAGTATTTTTACAGAAAATAAAACTTTTTACAATGTATTTATTTTGTATTTTAAATATTTCCATCCGCCTCCAGAATATAAGTGAACTGTAGGTAGAGTATTACCTGACACATGCTGCACTGCACTGTGTCAAACTGCAACGTTTCCTTGGAGACGGTGACTGTCGGCATGGTGACAACTGCACACAGCCGCACCTTCACCTGAGGACCACCTACAACCTTTAAAACCAAACAAACGCAGTTTATGAAAAAAAGCTTTTAAGCTTGATCTTGTAGGAATTTATTTACACATCTGTGAGCACCTGGATCGGTAAAAGAACGTTCCTCTGCCCCATCGTCAGGTTAGCTTCATTAGGATCAAACTTAACGCTGAAAGTTTGAGTTTCACCACAAAGCATGTTCTTCACTTGGACAAACTGTGTTGTAAAGCCTTCAAAAAGACACAGTAACAACTCATTTTATTCTAAAGAGGCAAAAGGTAAGAGACTGAAGAGAAATGGAAAATTATCATTCTTCTTCTCCACTTAATTCATAGACATCAGGTGAAATTGACCGATGGGCAGACTAGAACAGGTAAGGTAAAACATGTCCCCATAGAAAGCTGAGATGGACAGGAATAAAATGGACTAATAAAACAACTTTAATTTGTTGACTTGAAAAATGATCATTAGCTGCAGCCGTGTGGCTCTGCAGCAGAAAGGTTTCCAGGTTGGTTACTGCATGTTTAATATCAATCAACGTATGAGTCTCCAAACTGTACTATTTACAAAAATATTGCTTTATGCCTATTCATTCTGTTGTTTGTTTAAGTGCTTATCAGCAAAACTAACTTAACTTAACTAAATCTGTTCTAAACGTTATAACAGTTAAGATTACCTGCATTTGAACTTAGCATACAGTAGCTGTTTGGGTTTGTTTTTAAAAATCGTGTTCATTCGTCAAACAGTTTTCTTTCTTCTGCGAGTCTTTCATCAGACTATTTCCAACAACAGGTGATGAGTCTGCAGCACCTTTCAGCCACGTAAATGATGCAGCTTTTGTTTGAAAAGTGAACATTCTGGACGTGTCTTTGCACGACTCACCTGAGCATTTCTGCTTTTTGAAGTCCTCACTCTTTTCATCATGTTAAATTGTTCAGTTTCACTGAAACTCTGTAGTCTTTGCTGTTCAGAAATATGCTTAAACTAAAACACTTTCATTTCAGACAAATTCAACTTATATTTTGTGAATTAGTCATTCAGCACTTGTTTGACAAAGTTTTATTGTTTGCTCCTGAACAGCAATGGTGATAATGTCTGTGTGCCAACAGTTGAACACACTAAAGTGGAGATCAACCATCTAGACCAATTCTTATTTTTATGAAACACCTAATGTGCTTTAAGCATGTGTGTATTATGTTCTGTGTTGTATCTGCTACTTTCAAACTGAGACTTTAAACATTAGATCTGGAATCTTAAAATAATACAAATTAAACGGAAGGAAGAGAACTGAAGGCAGAAGCCTGTTTCATGTTACCTGTGCCTGCAAGGCGTTTGCAGTTGGCGTGGAAGGACACAGGTATTGACCCATTATTGGTGATATTTATTGACCGACTTACAGGTTTGTCAGGAATGGCAAACCCAAAGTCCAGAACATACTCTGGGAGCTCAGACCTGAAGGGAAAAAATGAGACTGACAAAATATCGATAACAGGCAAGTCGGTTGGTCACAGTAAGTTTTGAAACTTTAGTTTTAAATGTACTGATCGACTAAATCACATTTAATTACTATTATGTCTTCATGAAACAACACTTTCCTTTATATTTCAAATTACCTGTAATAATCTTTATTAAATATACAGTATATTCAGCATGACTCAAAACTTTATTCTAAATCAAATCATTATCTTAAACATTTCATGTATAAAGAAAAGTTTGCCTTTACAAAACATTTAATCACTTTGTACATTTTTACTGTTTAACAAAAACTTTTAATAAATATTTATGATAAGTCCACATATAAAACAATGAGTGCACTCCAAACAAACCAGCCAGAAATCACTCATTAACTCAGAGTCTTTGAAGCACAGCTCAATGTCAAGAATTTTTCACTTCAGTCAACTTCACTAGACCATCTGTTAAACCAAAGTGTGTGTGTGCATGTGTGTGTGTGCGCGCGCTTGTGCGTGTGTGTATACATACTTGCTTAGTTTGTGCCACTGTGAGGAGATACTTGGTGAGTCACCGAGCTCCAAGAGGCTTTTGGCCACAACAAGAGCGTTTTCTTTGACCAGCAGTGTCTCAGTTTCCATCTGAAGCAGCTCCTCAAACTACAGACAGCAGGCAAAGAAGGCAAACAATGAACAAAAGATGTTCTGCAGAATGAGATGGTTAATAATTACAGCCAGAGCCATATAGCTGTAGGGTCCAATATTTTAGGCTGATATAGGTGTTTGGGGACTTATCGGTATCTGTGATAATTATGTGCCAATATAAATACTTCCAATTTCCACCTCTAAAATGCTGGAGCCAGCCATGTCCTTACTTGCAAATGGTGTAATGTACAATGTATCCAGCAGAGGGTGCATGCAGATTACCGTACAGTCCTGCTGAACACTTGAAAAGCAGGGAGCGCCTAAATACTGTGTAGAGTATTTTGCTGTATAGAGCATGTTAAGTTTATTGCAACTGATCTGTAAAATAATAATTTAAAAAAATCAACAATAATAAATATCTTCCCGCTTGTCTTTAGCTACGTGCCTCTCAAGTTAGCAATCTAACATTTAGATAACCTAGCATAGGTCTTGTTAAACTTTATCCTGAACAATAAATCTAACGTAGCAGCAAATATATCAGTGTTAGTAACATTATATTTGTTGTCCTCAATGAAATGCAACGTTTGTCTGAAATCTTTACTTCTCTGCAAAGAAAAATAAATTCTGCTGCGGTCAATACTAATTAGGCCTTCACCATATGTGACTGACTGTTTAAACAATGAACAGGGAAGGGCGTTTCTTTGTTTAATTTATATTTTTTAACAAACTTGATAACTTTATGGTGAATAGTGGAGGATAGAAAATGTGAACGTACGTTAGAAAGACTATTTCTAGACTTCAAGTTTTAAAACAGGTTTAAAAGTAGCTAATGGGCACCAGTGACCCCCGTGACCCGAAAAGGAAGAAGTGGGTAAAAGTTAATGGATGGATGGATGATGGATGGAAGTTTAAAGCACTTTCATTTATATGTAATACTTTGAAAGGCCCTTTAGGAAAAAGTTTATCTGATGGGGAGTTTTCATCTGTTGAATAGATAACTGCCACTTTTATCTGCTTAAATGTAGGCTGAATTGTTTCAAGCTTTAGAAGCATGGCTAATAAAACATAATAAAATAATAAATAATAAATAATAATAAAGTTTAAAAAGTTTAAAACGTTTTAGTTCTTGTTTTTGTTTGTGTTTACTGACTGTTAGTGTAGAATCAGCCTTTACTGATGTTCCTCCATCAGATGTTTTCTGAGGCCTCGGTTCTTCTCTACCCCACTCTGCCTCCACAGCTGCCTTGGCCCGCTGCACCACCTCACTGTAGCGTTCCTCTGCTGCAGAAACAAAATAAAAAATGGTGTTAGGCCAGGTCAGGGGTTTTTACAAATAAAGTCACAAAGCAAAACTGGAAAATGTGAAATAACAATACTCCCGAGCGATTAATAAACTAAACCTGCATTCATTCTAATAAGTAAAACAATTGCTGCTTTAAAATTATACAAATGTCTCTTGTGGGTAAATGAGTTTGAGGGCATACCCAGGTTTCGTGGTAAATTCAGCAGGATTCTCGGGAACACTCCCACGCCAGTCAGAGAGATTGTCTCAGCTGGTTGAGAAGCTACCTGCAGCCAAAGCTGCTTCTCAAAAACTTCAGGGATACCCGGCAGGTAGAGCACACGAAGGTGTTGTTTGGAGCCTGCAGTAATGTAACCCTGGCTCAAGATTGAAAAACATGTTCCAGTAAAAGTAGACTCTGAAACATCCAGTCAGGAATTGGGTGGGTTGATTAACTCACCACAGATGGGATAACCATGGGCCTCCCAGGTCTGACCTCCATCTTCTTTTCCAGCCCTCCGTCTTTTTGGGTCTTAATCCGATGTCCTGCTCCTTTATCAGCCTCCTCATCTTCACTTTGACAGTGTATGATTGTGAAGTTAAAGCCCACCTTGCCAGTATTCTTCACAATTATTTCAACCTCTCCAATACAGTAAAAAAGCTGGAAGAGGAAAAAAAATGGAAGAATGGAGACGGAGAGGAAACGCTGGACTGCTTTAAGAGTGTATGAAACAAACATTTAGAGATGCATTCAATACATAACAATTTGCACCTCAGCAAATAAAAAGCCCTTTCTTTCATAGTGTTTCATCAAAACACCAAATAAGAGTCAGTCAAAAAAACAAGAAAAGTCACAAAAACTGATTTCAAAGCAGGTAAGTTGTGTGCACACGAACCAGCAGGTGAGCTCATTTTGGGTCACAAAATAAAACCTCCAAGAAGACAGAAACAGCAAGCAAGGGAAAGCTGTTGAAGTAACTGGAAGGTTGGAGGAAAGTTCTGCTGAATTGCTTTTCCGCCTAAATCAAAAATCAATGTGTCCCTGTTTTGAATATAAATGATATGTGGTCCTGATGGCTTGCATGCTAAAAAAGGAGATGAAAGTGAACAAGACCAAAATGTGAAAACAAGGCAGTGGTGTTAAAAGACAATCTGTTCAAGTATGACAAATGATTCTTACAATGCTTCTTTTATACCAACCATTCAGCTTTTCTTTCAGCATTAACTTTTCTTTTACAATAAAGTGCATAGGGTAAGCGTAAAAACTGGAAAGCAAACAATATTAATATAAACTAATTGAATCAGTTAAGATACTCTTAATCAACAATCATCAGCTACCGTTTCTTTGAGCCTGATAATGTCCATATGAATGGTTATGTCAGGGTTTGAAAAATAAAAATCAGCTTTGTCTTATTATAGTAGGTGACACATGGAGAAGCAAACAAATTGCAAAAAAAAAAGCAAATTAACAGAAAATAATGGAGAGCACCATTGGAGAGTATGTCCTTAGTGGCTCAAGGTGCAGCATAAACAAGATGTTTGATGCTTAAATTGGCGAGTTTTGGATTATGAGCCGTTCCTTTTCCATTTGTTTCTTAAAACATTATTGCTGCTTCTTTTTGTTTGAATCTTATATTGCCACACATTTCCACCTCCCTTTAAAGGGGAATTCTGTTCAACCATTATAACGGTGGCCCCATATGGGATTTCTGAAGTTGAAGCGGGAAGGAAAATGACAACTCCTTCTGGCTGGTCCCTGGGCAAGTTTTACGTCTCGCTCCCTCCATGTAAACAAACAGGACATTGCTCTTGGTTAAATACAAAAATAAAAACACCTCAGTCTAATTTTTCTTATTTATTCGTGGAGTTTTCACCCAGCTGCTGTAGGTTCACAGTTATTTTTTTCTTACTTTAGTTGTAATTAATTGTTTTATGCTATATAATAAGGGCATGTGACACACTGTGTGCAGGAGAGTAGGCAGAATTCAAGTGTTCTGGTTCTGCTGGCTCCAATTCCAAACAACGAGAGAAGGTGAGGACATTTACTTTAGCATATTAATACACTTTAACCATTGAGCTCTTCTCATCATGAACAAGCTTCAAACCTCAGAGCTTCTGAGCATGAATTCAGGGTTTGCCATTGAACTCCTAAAGTGACATTTTGATTCTTCAAACATTTATAGAACCTACATAAAGTAAAGTAGAAAGCATGTCTGAATTATTCATGTTTGGTGTGGGGCTTATTAGGGAAAAACAAAGCATGAAGCTAAACTTTTGGAGTTCTGAGCTCATACCTGCAGGCCGAAGTCCAGATGAGTGGACTCAAGGCTGTAGCTGATCCCTGATGTTTGTCCTTTGAGTTTGATTTCGTATGTTGGTCCGTTTGCTACATGGCACTGTGCAACCACTTCTCTGCAGACGTTCTCATGACAAAAGAAGGAGAATGTGACCACTTCGCTCTCTCCTGGTTGCAAAAGACCACACATTGGAGAGATGTTGAAAACCTACATGAACAGAATTAAAAACAGGAGAAGACGTTAGATGATTTCAGTTTCAAATCATTTTCCAGTGTGTTTAGTGACACTTTCTTTAAAATAGCTACTACTTTTTTTTTACCTGCTTTTCTATCAAAAGTCAATCAAAAATAAGATGAAGAAAACATACATCCATATGTGTTTGAATTGTAAAAACATTAAAATATGGTTGCAAGAAATTATTTGAATCTGTGAGTTGATAAGAAAATAAGAAATGTAAACGAGAAGCCTGTGAACCTATCAAAAAGGAAAGAATCATTTCAGCCAGTAAAAGTCTGCCATGTTGGATCAAACAAGTGATTCACTTAATCTGTTAATGTCAAAGTACGCTAGCGATGACTCAGCAACTAGCACACCAGACTTTAGTAAGTAAGTAAACTTTATATATATAGCACTTTTTATAGATAAAATCACAAATTGCTTTACAGAAATACATATAAAGCACAGGCTTAAAATAAAACAAAACAATGAGAACAGCTGATGAAACAGTAAGAACAGTTGATAAAAAACAGTAAGAACAGCTGATTAAAAAAACAGTAAGAATGTCTGATAAAAAACAGTAAGAACAGCTAATAAAGCAGAATATATGATTAAAAAACAGTAAGAACGTCTGATAAAAAACAGTAAGAACAGCTGATTAAAAAAACAGTAAGAACGTCAGATAAAAAACAGTAAGAACAGCTGATAAAGCAGAACATATGATTAAAAAACAGTAAGAACAGCTGATAAAACAACATCTGATTAAA